CTACTAGACTCATTTTGGTACATCGAGATCAACGAACCTAGGCTATGATACCAACTTTGTCATGACCCAGACCGTCGTGATTGACACCCACACTAACTCTCATGTGGGAGAACCACTACTACAACCAAACCAAGCAAATAATTTAAAAACTAAGGCATTTAAATCAAACACCAAGGAAATAAAAATAGAGTTGCTATAAACTCTAACAAAAGTCTAACAATAATAACTAACAATGCGGAAGAATAACCTAGAACCTGAAAGTCAATGTACCAAAACATCTAACAACGATCCAAGTCTAAACAAGAAGGGATATAACCCCATACTAATGAACTAACTAAAACAAATGTCTAAGTCCGGAAATGGTGGACCTAGACGAAAGAGAACCCATGGCAGCCCGGAAGAATTGGCTCAACCTTGAATTCGAACGATCACTGATCACCTAAGTGAGGTCTGTCAATAACCGCTTGAAGATGCCCTGTACTCAACAAAAAAATAAGAACAAGTGCAGAACAATACACAACCACAGTGTACTGGTAGGATCATGCGGCTATCCCACTAGTGCAACAGAAACAAGTCAAATAACATTATAATCACATGCATACATATCAACATATACAATATCATCAACATTTACGAACAACGAACAACTTCACATTTTATGTCAAATCATTGGTCCTTTCATGGAACCCAAACCCAAATAGTTAGCATGCTGAAACGTGGTAACCGATCCTATATTTATGCTGGAATGTGGCAATCGATCCCATTTTTGTGCCGAAACGTGGCATCCGATCCAATTTAGTTATGCCGGAACGTGGCAACCGATCTCATTCACACACCACAATCACAATCACAAGTATATCATCAAAATCATACATTTAAGTCATGATTTCACGGCATTCATCAATTATCTATCTCATTTACAACAAGTGTGATCAACATTGCAACATTCATACATATACAAGTATCATAATGACGCAAGAACAAACATACATCACACAATCATAGAATAACAATCATCACTTACCACGAAACAAGCTTGAGACCCTAACAAACTTGATCATTTCTTTTTCGAATTCGTTCCGCTTGTTCTTGGTCTACAAACAATCAATATGATACGGGAATCAATAAACAATCATTAATTACCCGAATTACTAACAATTCTTTGAATCCTAGGTTAATCCCATGATTCCAATTATCCAATTTAGGGTTGTTTCCACCATAGAATCTACAACAAAACCCTCCCCCATCAATATTCACTCATTCTATTACGCTCTACGGATTGAAAAATGAATTCGGGGAGTGAAAAACTTACATTTAGCCTCAAGAATGGTGAAAAACGAGTAGGAGTCACCTGAGAGTCGTTCCTTAGCTCAAAAAGTTGAAAAGTACATAATGAGGTCGTTCAGGGATTTATTAACGATTTTAATTCGCGTCGGGCCCGCCACGGTGGCCACCACCCCGCCACAGCAGCAAATCCTAGAGTCAAAGCGGCATTTTCGAGACAGAGTTATTTCAAGAATTCCAAAATTCCCATTTCGCAACACACCTCTAACCCACGACGCTCAGTAAATACCATTTACGCTAAGATCGATTTTGGGAGTTCTACTCGTTCGAAATCAATTTCGTAAAGTTGTACGGATTCCTTAACGAGTTATCTAATTGCTCATGTAATCAAAATCATAAATGATTCACCCGATTGTTACCAGAATTCCCTTCACCTCAATGAATCTGATTTCGTCCAAATCCGAACAAGGTTGGAAAAATTCAAATACTACTAAAAAAGTTTTTCGGCCCCAAATTTTTCGCCCGTTGACTTTTCTATAATGACGGGAACAAGTCCTTACAGGTAATTACACTATCCAATTCACAGGAAGAGATTGTGAATTACTAGTGTAATTACCAGCTAATTACTTTTAAATTTTTTCTTTTTATTTTCTTATTTTAATTTTTTAAGTTCTTTTTTTTTTTTTTTTCTCGTGATTCTATGCAATTTTTTTTGTATTATCTATTTCTTTATGTCATGCTTATTTCCTCATTAGCATAATTTTATTAGTAGTCTAGTTTTTAAATTAAAAGAGAATTTATTGTTAAGTAAGGTTATAGACTTACATTTTCTTTTTAAAAAATAGGGAAAAAGGGTCTGATATACCCCTCAACTTTGTCATTTGGAGCTGATATTTCCCTCGTTATGAAAATGACTCATATATACCTTTACCGTTATACAAACGGTTCACATATACCCCCACCGTTACAAAATTAGCTCACATATACCCTTAATTTAACGGAAGTGAAAAAAATAGTATTAAATTTATTTTTTTGACTTTTAAATTTTAAAATAATCAAGTAGGGGTATATATGATCCTTCTAGCGAATTTCAAGGTATGTTTTAAATTTTTTCATACATAAATTATTTTTTGACATCTTTGATTATCACTTTTTGAGTTTCTTATTCTTATTTTATTTTTTCCTTTCGTTCGTTAGTGTAAAGAGAAAATTTTAAAACTAATTTTTTTTCGACTATATTATTATTTAGTTTTTGTATTGAAAAAAAATTGGGTCATCTATAATAAAGTTTACAAGAAAATTAGTGAGACATAAATAAATTTGACCATCAAAACAATAACTTTAAATTAGTCGTTGAAATAAAAAAAGTAAAAAAAAATTATGTGTGAGGAGGATTAAATATACCCATATGGGATTATATTTTTTTTAAAATAATAATAATTAAGATATTAAATTAAAATTAATTTTTTCATTTCCGTTCGAGGAAAATGGTATATGTGAGTCATTTGTATAGCAATAGGGGCATATATGAGCCACTTTCATAATGATGAATATATCAGCTCTAATTGATAAAGTTGAGGGGTATATCAGACTCTTTTCCCTAAAAAATAAATAAAATTAAATAATATTAATGTATGCTATGTTGAAATTTGCGATAAGAGTATTATGTTAAATTTTTTGTTTTGAATTTATAACTTATGTTATATTTTCAGTTTCATTTATTTTAGTAATATTGAATTCACATTGCAAGTCATTTTTTAATTAGACTTGATCTTTTTGTCAAACATTTTAATAATTTATGACATTTTATTTATATATTAATCTTTTTATCAAACATGCATTTCACAATGTTCGTAGAAATTTCGTACTTTTAGTTTTTATGATCAATTCAATTGAAATACATTAATTTGAAAAATTATAAATGAGTTATTTTTCATAATATTAGTTAAGAACGTATGCTTTTAATTAATATATTTTCAAAAATTAATATATATCTTAAATATTTAATTTAATAGTATTTATAAAGTTTTTTATTTCTCTAGTATAAATTTAAATAATTAATTTTTATCTTTAAAATTTAATATAATTTTATGATTGCAATTGTGCATCCAAACAGAACATGTGTAATTACGCTATAACATCCAAACATGACATGTATAATTACACTGAGGCAAACAAACAGATCAATGTAATTACTAGATTGTATAATTACTAGGCTGATAATTACTATCCTAGTAATTACACCAATTTCAATTACTATGTGGTTTTCCAAATAGACCCTTAACCTTTTCCTATAATTGGTATTTGTTTGAATAATTATTGCCATTTGCTAATATTGATTGCCTGACACCTTTAACTTGCACAGTTATGTGAAAGGTTGGATACCATTAAGAGCCTTTTTTTTTCCACTGGTGATGATTGGACATTTCCATGTGAATTGAGCAAATAACACAGCTTTCACAGTTATCCTTTACTGGTTTGGATCATAGAAAAGAAAACATCACACAAATAATAACAAAAATGGAAATAACTTTGAACTTTTTTAGCTGGTTCAATAAAAATTGCTTGTTTTGGAGTGAAAAGGCCCAAGGATATATTGCAATTAGGAATGCTAAATTAAGGGTACGTTTTGGTTACGTGAGATAGAAATTATAATTTGAAATCATATTCGGTGTAGTTAATGTTTTGTTGGACATGCAATTTTTTAATTTTTGAGTTGTATTTTTGCTCATAAACATAAGAACTCCCTTAGTTGTGAAACTATCACAACTGCATCAATTCTTTATACAATTTACTAAATAAGTAAAAATTCATAACAAAAGTATAACACACTATCACATACAACATTTATTGATCGAATTTGAGTATGGTCAATATTATTTGTAACTACATCATCATGTTCATATTCCGTGAATATTTCATCACTATTTTTGTATTCTCACAAAAAAATTATACAAATATAGAATAATGGATTTTTAATGCAATATATAAATTTGTGGGTTAATTTTTGTATTTGTAAAATATGAAATCATGATATGAAAATTTTAAATTAAGCTTTTTAGAGAATTTGATATGTCATCTCGATGAAATCACATATCCTGATTTCATCTCGTAATTTTAAATCACGATATAAAATCACTTGTCCAAATGCTGACTAAAATTCAAACTTTGGTGAAATCTCATGGCTTTGTCCCAATATTTGTATAATTGTATGATAGTATTTTGGTATTATTTATTAATTTCATAGTTTTTGGAATGAACTTGTAAGTTTCGACAGATTACTGCATTTGCTTCCTACGTACACTACAGTGTCATACTCGTGAAGATAACAGAAGGTGTCGGGGGTGTAACCCCAAATAGTTGATTAATTTTTATTTTGCTATAAATCCTTGCAGGATAGGCACGGTTTGAAACTCAGTGGATAATGAATTCATCCTTCTACTTTTTCACGCCTAAATATCAAGTTTTTGTTTGTAATAGGATTCAAACTCGTGATGAGCGTCTAATCTACATACTAAGTGCACTCTTATCACTGAACCAAAGTTTGACGATTAATTGAATTTATTATTAATTATTAATTAGACAACATTTTTATCAATACGCTCTTACCGGTGAACCAAAACCTGGAGATTAATTGAACTTATTATTAATTAGACAAGTTTTGATCAATTTGAAGCTTATAGTTTGACAAAAATTACTTTTTTTTATAATTGCAGTGATTGAGTTAACTTACGTGCATTTCGACTAATTTCACGGGATATCTACCATCTCCCACCAACATCATGTATCAGGTAACTCTACCCACCAAAGTTACAGATGAAAAGAAATCACCTAGGATTTTTATCTCTACTGGAATTTAAATCTGAAACTTCATAATTCTCAAAATTCATTGACCACTAAGCTACACCCTTAAGTGCAATTAATTGAAATTATTTTATTCAGTAATATTCTAAATTGTAGGCCTTTGGTAGTGAATACACATTAGAGGATCTAAATTATTTTTTTTTGATAACGTTGGTGTCTGAGTCAATTCACCAGTACAACTAGGGCTGGTAAAGTGGTTAAAAAGAACGAGTAACCCCATCCAATCCGATCCGTCAGATACGAGTTGGATATTCAATTCTTAAAAAATGGATCAAATTTATATTATCCATTGATTAACTCATTTTCTATCTGTGATAAATAGAGTCTGATTGAATATTTTATCTGTTTTTGTTCAACCCATTTTTTATCCGCCCATTTTCTATCCGACCCGCTCTTTTGTCACTCGTAGACACAACTTTATGGTAATTCTTTACACAAAATTTGGGCAAATGGGAGAATTCACCTACCACCGTTTCTAGTTGAATTTGAAGCATAGTTTCCAAGTTAGTCATTCTAGTCCTTTGATAGTTTGGTTACCCTTTGAGAGTTGGGCTATGTTATTTAATGACCCTCTTTCTAGTGGTGTTTCTTTATTATAACTACAACATACGCATTACTCTGTGTAATTTTATAAGTGGAATCTCGTGTGTACGTAATCATACCCTATCTTGTGAAGACAGATAAATTATTTTCGATAGACTCTCCGCTAATCCATTTTACCTATTTGCTGTTACTCTAATCTTGAAAAAGACTCCATGCCACTGGCAGGTCCAAGTAGCATTAGAAATTAAATAGAAACTGTTTGGAAGAAAAGCAGAAATATATATGAAAGAAAAGGAAGGGGGAGGTATGGAACATTTCTGTCTTTAACAGGCTGTGTGTGTATAGATAGCCTTTCCAAAAGGTCCAAGTTCTCTGTTTTTTAAGTAACAGACACTAGTCATATCAACAATTTGTACATAAATATTGGATTTTATTAAACAAATATTATTGTTATGCTCACATACAATTGTTTATACAAAGAAAAGTTGTTACAATAGTATGGAGATTCTCCTGTCAGTTTCTGTAGGTCTTCTGCTGACGTTTTGATCCTGGTCCCATGGTACCAACTTACTAGCATTCCTTCAAAACCATCAGAAACTAATATGCCTAAATTACCCTCTTGTTCAATCAATTGAAAAATGGAATAAGTATCAAAAGTCTTCAACCACAACAACTAAAAGCCTCAATCTAATGTAATCTGGGGTCGGCTATATGATTTCTCGTTGATCGTGTTGTTCTATGAGCATAGAAATTTCAGACACCTAGAAAAGATAAAGACTTAAAAGTAAACGTATTAACATGCTAAAATATATTCCCAACTAATTGACTTCACCTCTCTCTATTCATCGCTAGGTTTGCATGAATTTCAAGACGTTTTCTTCCATGCGATTTAGGTGTACCTCGTTCTCTTTTAATACTTTTACTCACCATGATTTCACACCTACAAATGATCCATATAGTGATTGACAAAAAACATGACTAAACCGTTTAGATTGGTCTTTTTCTCATTTATACTCCATATGTAACTTTTGATGTAGTTATTTTTAATTTGTCTAGTCTAGTATTAGTAGACATCCATTTTAGTATCCGCATCTCTACAACATTCATCTTGCAGATATATCGGACTTTAGAAACTAGCATTTACTCTTTTATATAACATTGCTAGTCTTACAATTAATTTACAAGTTACCTTTCAATTTGATAGGTATCCTTCTTTCACTTAACACCTTAGTACTACTTCTCTATTTCAACCATTCTATTTTGATTTAACATTACTAAAATAACAAAAATCTTAACTGCTTAAAATACTTTTTAGAATAAATTTTGTGTTGATATATATCTGATAACTACAGTAGTGATTGGTCTATGAAATTGATGACTTGAGAGGTTCAGGGCCATGTCATGAAGTTATCTTTACCCTTTTGTGCATGAAATAGAATGACTTAATTAGTTTGTAATTGAGGATAATTACATACATCTATATCTTGTACAAGATATGTATAGAATATATAGATCAACTCTGTTTTTCTGCCTTGACGTATGTGTGTCTATTTTCCTTAATTTTAATTGTTGGAAATGAATAAAGAAAATGAACATTTTGCTACACTCCTAGTGCTTTATGGAAATGAAGAGACAAGCAGTTTAGAGATACAAATCATTTGGTAGGATGTATGAGAGAATCTAATATACATATTAGATATGGTATTATTTGATAGAATATTAGTTATACACCATGTTCAGTATTATAGAGTGTAAAACCAATACATAACAAATCATGATATTAGTAATATATGGGTTATAGAGATATGCATAAGCATGATTAAAGATAAAATTTTCCGTAATACACCAAACCAAATAGTGGATAAGGAATGATTCCAACATTACTTATTCCAGCATAACACATTCATGAATTACTAATCCCAACATAACTAATACTTCCTATTTAATACTATTCTAATACACTTTACCAAACGTCCCTACCCTGATTCTTTCTCTAGTTGAATGATTGATATGTCCTGTCTTAACCATTTCTTAGGTAATTCTGAGAATTGTTTTGTCAACGGTTAGATAAGTATAAGATGTGTGATTTTCTGAGCATTGAAGGTCTTTTTGCAGGCCTTAATTATGGTGGAGGCTAGTGGACTGCCTTTTCTTTTGGATGGGTGGCAACCCTTAAGACCAATAGCATCCTTTGAAACTCGGAAATAATGGATTCACTCTTTTACCCTTTTCCACTTAAAAATCAGGCCTAGTTCGTATACTACAAGGCTCGAGCCAGTGGCCTAAATCACAAGTCCCTCAACCTTTGCCCCTTGAACTAAATGTGGTTGGTTTGAGACTGTTTTTCTTTTTTCTCCCAATTGTGTTTACATTTCTTGTTTCTTTAGTCGTTTTATTTTTTGAACACCGCATATATATAATGAGACTTTTCTAGCCTAACCAAAAGGTCACATGAACATGCCTTAGTGTCATAGACAGACTATTATGCACCACCGAAGTCATCAATGTACATGAATCCTGTGAAAGTCCATAATTTCACACTTTGGAGTTTCTCTAACCTTGATTTGGCTTAGTGTAATGGACACTAGTCAAATTGTTGGCTTTGATGATGAATTTGATTTGTTCTCTGGTTTGGCATATCTTTTTGAAAACTATGCTTAGAACAAAAGGTTTGAAATTTGACTTTGACAACTTAAGTGATAGAAGTGGTTGAGCCAGTCATAACACCAACTTTGTGTGTTATTTATGGAATGAGATTAATTTATCCAAAACAAGTAAAAATGAACAGAGGGATTCAAAGTATGGACTCATAGTTGGGCTCACCTCGGACTCGATTTAACTTGTTACCATAGCAAGTTTGATAGGCTTAACTCGACTCAACTTGATTTGGCTCAATACTCAAATTTATTTATAGGTAAAGTTGTCTTTGTGTGACCTATAGGTTACAGGTTCGAGTTGTGAAAGCAACCACTAATGCTTGCATTAGGGTAGGTTGTCTATATCACACCCGATGTGGTGCGGTTCTTCCTCGGACCCTACTAATGTGGAATGCTTTGTGCATCGGGGTACACTTGATGTTGTTATAGGGGATCCTCCAACTATTATGGAAGATTATGTCTCATACCTCCTTTAACTTGATCCTATTAAAAAAAGGAGAAGGGTGCTTACACATATAACTGTCATTTTGTAGAGTAAAATCTGTTATGAAACTCTTCCTAACTACCCCCCATCTAAGACTAAGTAACAAAAGAATAGTAGAAAAATGGGAAAATTCCAAAAGTATTTAAAAACCCTAGACTGTCTCTAGCTATTTATATGCACCTAAGAGACCTTCCTAACCTCTGCCTCTCCTCTGCATAGTGTGTACTTTGGCTCCTCAGGAATTGAATGACATGTTTCTTTAGACCGACTTTCTTGCTATATTGACCTCCATTTCCATCCTAAAAAAGATCCCAAAAAGAGAGAAAAGCAAAGCCATTTGAGTAAAAGATGAGGGGAAGATCTTCACCAAAGCAAGGAGGAGTTATGGAAGTAGCAAAGGTTGATAAACTAAAACAAGAGCCTCCTCATCTCTCCGGTGCCTATATTAGAAGCCTAGTCAAACAGTTAACTTCTTCAAGAACCAAAGATCCCTTGAATCCTAAAGACCATGATGATTCACTAGAGAATTCAACAAAACTTGATGATACTTTGTGTAGTGATACACAATTGTCATCACCACAGCCAGCAGCACCACCACAGATTAAAAAGAAACAAGTGAGGAGGAGACTCCACACTAGTAGGCCTTATCAAGAGAGGCTTTTAAATATGGCCGAGGCTCGGCGTGAGATTGTCACTGCCCTTAAGTTTCATAGAGCGTCTATGAAACAACAGCAACAATCTCACACTGAGCCACAGTCGTTGCAGACTTGGCCTCAGGAATCTTTAGGGGAAGAACAAGGGAAGCCAAAATCCCGGAGAAACCCCAGGATTTATGCTTCCAACACTATGGCTAATAACTTACCATGTTACAACATGGAAAATTTCTCCAATTCAACCTTCCCTTGTCTTCCTCAATATCCTTATTCTTGCCCTGTTTCATCCCAATTACCTTTCCAAGACAACATGAATTTTCCACTTCCCAACCAAACATTAGGATTGAATCTCAATTTCCATGATTTCAATAATTTAGATGCAACCCCTTATTGTAGCATCAGCAATAAAAATTCAATCTTTTCATCATCATCATCATCTTCTTCAGATGAATTCCATTATGTGGGAGAAGGGGTTGGTCCTATAGGTGAAATGGTGAATTCAAGGTTGCATCCATCAATGGATGACCAAGAAATGGAAGAGATCAGATCAGTAGGGAAACAACATGAGATGGAGTGGAATGACACACTCAATTTGGCAACTTCAGCTTGGTGGTTCAAGTTCTTGAAAGCCATGGAAATTGGACCTGATGAGAAGAACATTGCTGAGGATTATGGATGTTATCCATTTGATGAAGTCATGGAATTCCCTCCCTGGTTTAATCCAAATGAAACCTGCTTGCAACAACATGTCGATGATACCTATTCTCATCCTACCTTACCATGGTAACTATTTCTTACTAATTTCACTTATTATTTGCTATGTCTTCTTTACATCTGTATGACCTGCTTGAATCGTGAATCTTTCGAAAATAGCATAATAAAATCGACGTATATCCTAACCTGATGAAATTACACTAGGATGGATGTAGGATGTAGGATGTTTGTTATTGTTGTTGTTTCATTTCTTCTTTCACTTTTCATTTTTAGGTTGCTTTTTATGTTTAAAATATTAGGAAATGTTTTTTGTTCCTATGTCATCTTACTGTTCAAGATGCTCTTTGTTTAAGGCCTAACTCAAGTGGCAAAAGGGGAGGATTTGTGACTTAGGTCGCAGGTTCAAACCCCACACCATGCAAAGCGAAGCTTGGTATTTAAGTGGAGAATGGTAGAGGGGCGGGCCCATTATTCACCGAATTTAGAAGATAGTGATTGGTTCAAAGGCGGGTCACAGATAAATTTCTCTATTATTAAAAAAAAAAAATAGTCGCCACAAAAATGTAGGATATAATTGAGTATAACATGTTAAATACAATCTTATTTTTTGAACTTTATGTCTAACTAGCAAAAGTTTAATGCATCGAGTTATCCTTCAGACTTTTCTAACATCAGTTTTCTGAGAAGAATCACAATTTATTTTAGGAAATTTCCGTGGCCAAAAACAGATGCATGCTATTAGCATCATGTTTTGTTGGTATTAGTATACGGAAGTATGGGTCTTTGCTAGCATTGACACGTCAAACGGTGGAACAAATGAAACAGACAACCCATTGGGCCCACTTTTTTTTAATAATTTTTTTTGTGTTTTTTCTTTTTTTGGGGTTAGGAGTTTGTTGGGTCATTGAGAAAATATTGAATTTGTAATTATCTCTAGCCGCCGTTCATTTTTAATTAGAAATTTTTATTTAAAAATTAATTATTTTATTTTTCTAATGATAAATATTGTAGGTACAAATTTATTTATTTCTAGCTTTTTCTCTTTTAAAATAAAATTTTTGTGTGATTTATGTGCTGTTAATGACGTATTTATGGATTTTTTAAAAATATTTGATCATTAAGAAGAAGGATATAGTTTGATGTCTTCATGAATATCTCGAAGAGTTTTAAGGGATTCAAGATCACTAATGTCTTCATACTCTATTCGTGAACACCTAAAAATTTATTCAAGATTTTGATCTTTAGAAATATCCAAAAATTTATGAGATATTCGAGATTTCTTTGAGAAAAAAAATTTTGATGTCTTCATGATCTCTTTATGAATATTCAAAATTTTATGAGATATTCTGAAATCTGGAAATGAAATCACACTTTGTATATATAAAGTTTTTACCTTTCAAATTAGATATAAAAAGTTTTTACCTTTCAAATTAGATATAAGTGCCGAACATCAAATTAAAAAAATATTGATAGATTATATTTCTATATTTCTTTTTCTTTAAACTAAAAAGAAGAAAGTTGATGCTTTTTTTTATTTATTCACATCATTATAGTTATCATCATCATCATCAAATCTGACTTTTAAAATATTATATTTTCAGTGTTATTTAAGGGTATTTTTTATAACTATATTCAGAGAATATTTGTTATGAATATGTCACAAAAACTACTATGTTCTCCATATTCTTATTTTATTTAAATTTCTTGTGTTGTTACAGTATGGACATTGAAGGAATTGAAGGAATGGATGTGGAGTGGTTAGCTTGAAAAGAAGAAGATTGATGGGTTTTTTTTTAATCATAATCAAATCTTTGGCCTTTATATTGAAGCCCCAAATTGCTGTTTTTTCTTTCTTTTGGGGAAGGAGGATTTTAAATTTCTCCATTTCTTTGCTTTTTTATTTTATTTTATTTATTAAAAAAATGATCAGTAATAAAGGCGTTTGCTAGAAATCGCAGGGTCTAGAGAAAAATAATAGATGAGGGAGAAATTAATTATTATATGTATGTCTCCCAGTTTTTCTTTTCTGTCAATTATGAGAGATCTGATATTTAATGGTTCTCGTCATTGTATTTTAATTTATATTTTTAGAAATTTTTTGTATTTTATTTGGTTGCGTATTTTCACAAGTAATATTTTACAATTTCTGGTGCTAATTATTGCAAGCTTCGTTAAAAAGGAAAAAAAATATTTCATTAGACAAACATTTCTCCTTATAATTTAAAATAATTACATATTGTCTCACTAATTAATGATTTTTATTAAATTTTAAGTTAAATACATCTAGATATATGTATTTTAGCTATTAGATACACTATATTATATGTAATCTTTTTCTTCTATGTTTAAAGCTCAAATATTTAAATTAATGTGTCATAAACGTGAATAGTTTTGAGTGAATAATATATCAAAAGACTTGAAATATTGAGTGCGATATCTAAGTTTTGAGATTGTTTGGATGAAATTTTGAGTTGATCAGGAGTGAACAACAATGTTTATAGAGGTATATATATGTCTCTCATATATAGTTATACTTCATCTATGCACTAGTATACACTATTTATACAATATCGATACTATGAGAAACTTTTACATATAACCACTCAAAAATAGCCTAATTATGCTTCATAGCTATAGTTTGCTAATTACAATTTGTAGCTACATGTTATAGGAAGGAGAGTGGCAAGCGAGACTGGGAGAGGGAGGAGAGAGGCGAGCGAGAGAGGGCAGAGAGTGGGAGAGAGGTGAATTGTATAAGTATATCGGTTAAATAATTGTACTCCCTCCGTTTCACAAAGAATGGTCTAGTTTGACTTGGCACGGAGTTTAAGAAAATAAAGAAGACTTTTGAATCTTGTGGTCTTAAATTAAAGTTATGTCAAATGTACAAAATTGTCCTTTAATCTAGTGTCCTTAAACATGCCACGTGGAAAGTTGAAATTAAAATGTTACCAAAAAAAGAAAGAGTCATTCTTTTTTAAACAAGGCGAGAGAGATTGAGAAAAGGAGGAGAGAGGCGAGCGGGATTGGGAGAGGGAGGAGAGAGGCGAGCGAGAGAGGACAATAATTTGTATAATTCACATCTCGTTTGTATAATCCGCATGTGCGTTTATATAATTCACGTATTTTTGTATAATTGAGTTATATAAAATCTGGAACTATACAAATATAATAAAACTCGAAATAACGAATTGATACAAACATAAACATATGAACTTTAAACAATTATACAAAATATATTATTCAAATTAAATTATATAAATTATGTTATACAAAATCCAAAAACTACACGTTTATACAAACTTTAAAAAGTTATACACAAAATGATTGAATGTAGATGATGACAAAACTGAAAAAACAAAGGAAATCATCGTCATATACAAATATAAACAATCGTATACAAATACAAATACAAATCAAACAAAGAATTGTTGACTGTGAATTATACAAATATGGCGAATTATACATATACAAACGTGGCTAACATACAAGCTTGAAGTCACCCCACGTAATTAATGTATAATGTTAATCGCGAGTGATAATTATAGTAAACTATATAGTTGTGATGAGTAATTAAGTAGTATAAATTTGCTTAACCGAGTAATCTTCCCTAATATATATATATATATATACACTTCGTATAATTTCTATATATTTAACTGATCACCTGCACTACACGAAATCAAGGGGGAAAAAGAAGGAAGGAAGAGCAACTTGTTATTACATTTTTTGTTTAAAGAGTTTCTATCAATTGTTTCTAAAATGATTTATAATTTTTTCATAATTTGTTTTTTTTTTCTTTGTCAATAGATTTTTTTTTTGGGACAAATAGATCTTACTATAAAATGAAAATACTGTTTATATCGCTTATTCAAAAGTAAGTGATCCTAGGAAGAATTCAAAAAAAAAAAGTAAAATCAAATGATTAGCAATATACCATATCCTATAATTTCCTTTAAACAATAGGAGTAACGAAACTTAAAACACACTATATTATCATACACACAATTTTCCAGGCCATGTTGTCTCTTTTTTTTTAAAAAGAAAAATAATCAATTTTATCTTCTTCGTCACATATTCCAGAGATTATTGAATTGATTAAATAAGAGAGGTAAACATGATGATCCTTAAGCTCTTCCAAGAATATTCCCTATATCACCTTTCACACCATCAAAAGACTGAGGAGTATACACACATATTTATCTTAAGCTTTGGAGCTAAGGAGAGAGCTTATTTATTTCTTGGTTGGGTGTGCATTCCTTTAAATAGGCTCGACGTAAATTTACTTTTATATAATTATACAGATTATAAAAAAATTCTAATAAAATGATTGTTTGTATATGTAATGTTATATAATATATCAATATTGTAAAAATAGTTATCTAATGTATTACTATTATACAAATAATTATGTAATATATCGATATTGTATATATATTTTTGTAAATATTGATATTATATAAATAATTATGTAATGTATCGATATTGCATAAATAGTTTATAAAAGATGTATATATATATATATATATATATATATATATATATGTTTATATAAATTTGTATATAATTAGTATAGTTTATGAATATTCGAAAACTGTCTCAAAAAGATTTTGTTAAATGTTTGGTTAATTAATTTAGTTATATAATAGTTTATACTTTAATTTATTTAGTTTATAGTTAAGTTAATTATTTTATTTCGTTAACATTAAGAAGCTCATTGATTAATTTATATTAATTCATTTTATATTGAGTTTTAATGTTTGCTCGAGAACGAACCAGAATTTAAATGTGAGGTGGTTATCTTCGGACATAAATATCTATTTTAGTTATTATTTTTCTCACATTTTAATACTTTTAATTATCTGTTGAGTATTGATTATATTATTTATTTATTAATATTATATTTTAATGTGTAGGAATGAAGTGATATAAAGATGAAGAGATTTGGAATGAAATTGAATAAAAGTGTAAAGAAATAAAGAATAAAAGAAACCATGGAGACATGAAAGTAGTGGCTTAATGATTGGGACATTGCCAATAATTATTGACATTATGGGTGTGTTTGGTATGGTTGAAATGATTTTTCTAAAAATGCTTTCTTATATTTTCATCTCTGAATAATGAAAATATTTTCTCTAAGAAAACAAGTTGTTTAAAAATATAGAAAAGGACTTTCTTATTAAAAATAGGAAATATAAGTTTTATATATAAGCGAAGTTTTATGTTTATTGTATCTTCCCCGCTCATCCAACGCCTCCAATCCCTACCCCTTTACCATCTCACCCTCGCTACCCCTAAGGCACCGCCTCCACCCTTTTCACCCCTATAGTGTTCTACTAAATTACATAGAATATTCTTAAGATTAACACATTTTTGCTAACTTACCAAATAAATACTGGGAAAAAAAGTCAACTTATTTTATTTTTTTAAAATAGGAGAAATGTTTTCGATGAGAAATATTCTTCTTCCTACCAAAGACACTCTTAAAAAAAACAAAGAAAAAGAGAATATAAGAGATGAAAAATAAACCTGACCATGTTGTGTAAGTGATGATTGAATTATTTTGAACAAAGGATTATGACACAATGAATATTTTATCTAATTTTCTCTTTAAATTAATTGGGCCAATAAATCCGATGGCATCGTATGCTAATACAAGAATAATAGGAATTTAGCAAGAATATTGAGAAGATGACCAACTTAATTAATGCAAACATGAATAACTAATAAATAAATATTTGCTTATCACCAATATAAAATGTTCACAATACATTTATTTCACAAATTATAAATGATAGGAAATTAAAGAAGGGATCTACATATGTTTGTTAAACTTGGAACACTTAAATTTCATTAACAATCCATGTGATCAAGGTCCATAAATAAACTTAACTTAATTATAATATCAATACTCTTAGACTATACATTTATATAGTCATTCATAAATTCCCATCGATCTCCCAACTCCAAATTGACCATAAAATTAAACTCACATTTATTGTGTGAGAGACTCTGGATACCTATCAACGCAACCAAGCCAAGGATTCGTTGAAGGCTTCTTAACGCGACGAATAGCTTTCCAAACCGCACTGTTACACTTAAAACCTGACCCAAATGCAATTTGCCACACACGATCGCCTCTTCTGATTTTCTCCTTAGCCTCCAAATAAGCCAACTCGTACCAAATGCTACTACTAGACGTGTTACCTGTTCAGACATAATAATATATAATTAAAACTACGTTCACTCTAACAACATAACATAACATGTTATATGTATATATATGAGATGATCATGTAGTTCAATATTAATACCAAATCGATGGAGCGTGGCGCGTGATGCTTCCATGTTTTCCTCACTCAACTCTAGGTTTCTTTGAAGCTCATCAAGGACAGTTTTGCTGGCTGCATAGACACAAAAGTGCTCAAAGGCAAGTTTGTAGTCTGGAATATAGGGTTTGATATTATTGGCCTGCTGGGAATTGTTATTGTTGTTATTATTTGTTTTGGCATTTTTATTGCCAAATAAGTGCCTCCAAACTAAGTTTCCAAAGAAGAATAGTTGTTCTGATAAAGGTAGAACCAAAGGGCCTAATGTAGTAATATTAGTCTTCAATGCATCTCCTCCAACTTCTACTAAATCTTTGCTTATCTTTAGCCCCTTGTAACGTTGGCTATCTTCTTCTTGGTAAATGCACCTGAAAAATGTATAATTTTAATACTCGACTTTAGCAATAAAGTTTAAGTTATATGCACTGATAGTATTTTTAAAAAAAAGAATTATGCAATAATTATCGATACTTTAGTTGTGTGGTATAATCTTTTCAAATTGATTTATTTTTATGAGAGAATAGCTTGTTCAAAATTAAGCATAATAATCATGAAATCAATTGACACGAATTAGACAAATATATGTATTAATGCATTTTCTTGCAATTAATTAATACACACAATGATTAGATCAACCTAATGAAAAAAGAGGGCAAAATAAATGCATTTTTCACCAATTAATAAGATGACAGAGGAAAAGAGTGCTGATTAAAACGTCCATTTTTAAATTTTATTTTTTATGTCTAAAA